GAACAGTACGTGATAGAATCATCAGAGTACGATACTGAGAGTCAGAAGCAACCGCTGTCGTCACCAACAACAACAGAAGGAGCTCCGTTCGAAGAAAAGCCAGAAGGTTACAGTGAAACGCTCAGCATGGAGAAGCCTTCGTATGTTACCTACGAGCATGAAGAAGCAACTGCGCCTGGTGTGAAGGACGAGGAACAGTACGTGATAGAATCATCAGAGTACGATACTGAGAGTCAGAAGCAACCGCTATCTTCACCAACAACGACAGAAGGAGCTCCGTTCGAAGAAAAGCCAGAAGGTTACAGTGAAACGCTCAGCATGGAGAAGCCTTCGTATGTTACGTACGAACATGAAGAAGCAACTGCACCCGGTGTGAAGGACGAGGAACAGTACGTGATAGAATCATCAGAGTACGATACTGAGAGTCAGAAGCAACCGCTATCTTCACCAACAACGACAGAAGGAGCTCCATTTGAAGAAAAGCCAGAAGGTTACAGTGAAACGCTCAGCATGGAGAAGCCTTCGTATGTTACGTACGAACATGAAGAAGCAACTGCGCCTGGTGTGAAGGACGAGGAACAGTACGTGATAGAATCATCAGAGTACGATACTGTGAGTCAGAAGCAACCGCCTTCTTCACCAGCGAGGGCAGAAGAACCTTCGTTGGAAGAAGAGGCATCTATAGAAGGCTATCATGAAAGCCTAGACACGGTTGAGGAACACGAGCTAAGCCTTGAAGAAGGCCGACCTGACCTTACATACGATAAGGACAAACCAGCCATTCAAACACTCGATGAAAAAGCTCTCGATAATGTTGTCAAAATGAAGTTCACGGACGCTTACCTATTAGATTCGCCTGAAAAGCAATCAACACAAGTGCCATCATCGTATCCCGATGAGCAAGCTTCGATTGCTGGTGATGAAGAGTGGAAGGTTTATGACAACAAAGGTGAAGTTCTCGAAGAGTTCTCCACCCAGCTTACCCAAGAGCTCATACTGGAAGCTGAAAGTAACGCAAGCATTCAATCATTGCAATCACCCTCTATGATAACAAGGCAAGATTCTTACAATGATGTCAGCTTAGAGCATGAGGTTGACTACCAATCCGATCTGCAAGAAAAATTGGATATTCTCGCTGGGGAAAGTCGAGAAAAGTTGACATCTGTCCAAGAGGAAGACCAATTGGAAGTCATCGACGAAACTGAATACGAGCATGAACCTGAAGATGAACACGAAATTGAGAAAGCAGCATCTCGTCTCGTAGATGATGCTATAAACGCTGCTCTGGAACCTCATGAAGATGCAAAAACTTTAACCTCAACTTCTGAATCGAATGTGTACCACACTGCAACTGAACAATCAAAGGATGATCAATATGATACTTGCGTAACATCTCAAGACACTTATGACTCAGCGCAAGAATGGACTTCTCAAGAATCAGAGTACACAACAGCAGCTAGCGGTGCCACAAGCCGTCTAAGCGAAGCAGAAGAAAGACACGGTAGCATTACTCCATTAGCCATTCTATCACCCGTTGACTCTGACCGCCAATTCACTGCTAATCAAGATTTCGATGATGTTGTTCCAATTCGACGTTTTGGTATCGACGACACAGCTAGGTCCACGCCAGACGTAGCTCTTCAAGTTACAATTGAGGAGGAAGAAGAAGAATCTGAGGCCACATTGCCAACAAGCCCGAGTGGGGTTCTCCTTGCACCTCAAATGGACCCAGGCCGTCCTGTGTCACCAGTTCCTCCTAGTCGCCAAGTGGAAGAAGATGAGGAAATTTTTGTATTCCTAGACAAGCCCGTCGATAAGGGAGGTATGGAATTGTTAAGTGATGAGAGGAGAACGGAAAAAATATCTGCCGAAGCAGAAACATCAAGTGATAGTCGTGGAGAGAAGACATACAGTCGTCAATATTCTGATCTCTCATCTGAGAGCCATGCTGACACCGTGATACATCATGACAGGGGCGAAACCGAGACTGTTGCAGATGCAGAAGAGATAAGATCTTCTTGTGAACCAATGTCAGGTTCATCCGATTCTTTGGACAAGACATCTGCTAGAAGCAGCACTGCTGAGAGAAGGTACGTTTTTTAGCTATTACATAGTGTACATAGATCCACTAAGTTCATCTTTATTTCAGAGACACTTCGTCCCAACGATCTAGCGCCTCTCCGCTAAAAGAAAGTGAGGGGATACTAGAAACAGATGAGCCAACAGAGTCACCGTCCTCAGAGGATTCTGTTAAAGAAAAAACGAGTGATGGTGAAGAAGGATTTGTGATTTGCTCTTTTGCGGAAGAGACTCCAATTGTGGAAGGTGAACTAGAGACGGTTGAGGAGGAACCCGAAGATGCAGAGTCTGTCAACGGTAGTGGGAACTCTTCTGTTGGCGCACCATCAGATTCCCTCGCACTTATTGGCAAGTATAAACACGTGTCGAGCGATAACGTTTCATTAACGAGCCTTCAAGAGTTCGAACGTCTGGAACAACAGGTCATCAATCGAGGAGAAGGCAGCCTCAGTGCCAGTGAAATTGAATTATACGCAGCAGGAAAACTACGATCTGGTGAAGGATCTGTGAGCTCGCTGGCTGAATTTGAGAAACTGGAAAAAGAGCTCGCCGCCAACATTTCTCCTCAAGAGGATGCCGCAATGTTACCAGAAATCCGAGAGGAATCCGAAGTAGAAGACATGAGCGTACGCGATGATGACGAGGATGACCACTCGGTGAGTGATTTTTTACAATAGTTTCACGGTAGGCATAATGACACAGTTCCGTGAACAGCGAAGAGGAAGCTTCCACTTGTTTACGTTACTCGTCCGAGGCAACTTTACCGGTTGAGGTGATGACGTAGATTTGCTAACCCTCCAATTACTAAACAATCCACTGTCGGGAAAATGCACTTCTCGTGTTCCATTGCGTAGAGAACGTTTAAAGACACATTCTGCGATTGCAAAATGAGGGTATCGCGACCCGAAAATAAACTCCCCAGCTGACCTACCAAAGGGAATAGGGGGGGGGGTAACGTGGAGAACCCCTCGCTATGGTCTGGTACATTAAACGATTGATCATAATTGAGTGGGCATGGGCGAATAGAGACGCAGAGAAGCTCAGCGCGCAGATCAGACAAGCGCGAACATGAGTCAGAGTTCTCCAAAACAAAGGCAGAAAGACCGTAAATGTACGCCTATGGACGTTTATGCTCGATGTTTGCGACGATTTCCCCTGTCTTTTTGGCGAGGCTGAAACAGTGCAGTGGTGAATGACATTCTTATTACGAATCTGGGGGCAAATCTCAGATCCGGATCAGCTCCCGCCGAGGTGAACCGAGCATTCTGCCCTTTGAAAAGGCCCAGATTTGTGCGGAAGGACAAGAACACTGACTTGAACGTGGATTTTCCCCTCACCACCTCCCCGCCCTCCAAGTATTTGTATCGCATTCAGTAAGGCTTTACGATGCTGAATAGAAGTAGAATGGACACCTTACACCAAGAAGGATTGATCAGCTTCTTATTACCCTTTTATGGGCAGTTTCCCGGTCATCGCAGACCCTTAGGCGCCTTTGCCGCGCACTCTGTCGAAAATGGCACATCCCAAATGGCTGCGGACTTTGTTCTTCACTTCTTCCATAAGGCAAGGATTCTACCTTTTAGGTAATCGCGGAATGTATCTTAAATACAAATAAGCTTATTCAAACAATACGGATACGCGATCGTACGTCCATATTTCCCCTCATGTCACATTTTCCTTCCTGCGTTTTCTTCGTATTTTTTATTTGTTCACATTAATGAAGGTTTCTTTAGGAAACCGAAGTAAAAACTAAACCAATTGATGAAGAAGATTTGCGAGCTGCAAC